CATTCAGAATGATCTCATTGGTTTCCACCTCAATTTGCCCAGTCTTTGCCCACCAGGCCTATGGTTTATGTATTTTTGGCACAGCACAGATCTACCTGCAAGCAAGTCACTCCCATCACGTGGCCTTGCACAGCTCCAGCTCACATCTCATGGACAAGGCTGTTGAGGGAGATCTCATTATGTACAATACCCATGCTAGCATTAAGCTATTGCTTACAGATTTCTATGAACATTTAAAAAAAGTAAATCCACAAATGCCATAATATCATTATTCAGCTTCCCCACAGTGATCCTGAATGCTGCTGAAAGGAGCACCACGTGCAGCCATGCAAGAATAAAAGCCTGCATGAAACCAGGCAAGCACTAAAACTGCCTTTCTCCAACATGTGTGTGGAACAAGCAGCAACTGAAATCACTAATGGTGACATTGTTTGCAGCTGGCTTATCAAGCTGCTACCAAGCTTCTTTGCAAGATGATTTTTAGATAGGCTATGCTCAGCAAAAAAAAGCACAATTTCAGAAGCAGAGAAATGCTAATGGGAACATAACAGTACTCCACTGCGTCATTCGTCATAGCACGAGCGTTACACAGGGAAATGAAAGGAGAAGAAAGATACAATTCAAGAAGAAAATGGTCACCATGCTTCAGATACAAGGCAGTCATACTTACATACATATATATATATCTGCTCTTTCTTTCTCCCCATGTTTTCAGTACACAGCTGATCTTTTCATCTGCTTGGTATATTTATACAGTTCTACAGAAAATTTCAGAAAAAGTTACCAAAAAATCCCAAATGTTACAAAGATTATGAAAATCACACATGCATATATTTGGAGTCTTCTCTCTCTAAATTTCACACTAAAATATGCTTGCTTATCTACTTACTGAAACACAAACTATGCTAACACCTTCTAATCTGTGGTTAACCTGCTGTGAAGAGTAAGGCAAAACAAAAGATTTTTTCACCCACGGTAGGAAAATATTCTGACAAACATTCCTGCAAGAAAATCTTTATTGTACTCATGCTTTCAAGGGCACAGAGGACTGTGTCAAGGTTCTTTTTAATGAGAAAAAAAAAAGAAAAGAAAATATCAAATAGTGCTCAAAAAGGGAGTACCATCCATCTTGTTATGTATGTAGAGAGAAAAACATAGCATATGAGTGTATAATCTAAAAGTCTATCATTATATAAATGCATTGGAAGAGTAATTAAGGTTGTACAGGCACGATTCTTCTTTGAGTTTTGAAGACTTTGTCATATAGTCTGAACAATATATTTTATAATAAGCTTTGGTGAGGATGTGAAAGTAAGAGAGATGTAAATGAACTAATAATGAAACTAATTGCAAATTAATGTTCTAAAATTTCATAGGAACAAAAAGAAATCACTCTTGAAGGCCTAAAGAAGGAGTAGAAGTGAACAAATAGGAAAAAATCAGCTTCTCTAAATAAGGTCTATTACATTTCCTAATGACAAAGGCTAAGTGTAAATAATTCTCCCAAAATTCAGTAGGAAAAAAGCTGACTTTTCAGGTTATTTAAGAAAACTAAACAAGGTGGCAAAGTCACAGTCAGCCACACAGCACAGTCACAGAAAAGGAGATTCATGGCCTATTCCCATCTCTGTGATTCACATTTCAGTGCCAATGCAGATCATTTACTTAGCAGCAATTGTCTTCAAAGTGCTGTGCAAACATTTTTCTTTCCAGTACCACCTCCGCTTCTCCCTCATCTGCAATGGGGTAAAAAGTAAAATCTTTCCTAACAAATGGAGAAAAGAACAATTGAGAAAAATGAACAAAAGGTTTTCAGTGATATGGCCATGGCCAGATAAATGTCCAACAAAAAATGGATAAAAGCCACAGTTATGCCCCACTGCTATTTAGCAGCAATTCAGGGGTGTTTTGCCCAGTAGCACATCCTTACAGGCTGTATAGCCACAGACCTGGAGGTAGCCTAGCCTGCAAAGGCATTTTAATGTCAATCTAGAAAAGGCACAAACTGTGAAAGAAAATAAGTCCTAGCCTTGCTAGGACATGCTGGAGTTTAATTCATGCTCCCGTAAAATTTATGTGGAATAAAACATGAAAAAGTGGCAGTCAGTGGAACAGAAATGATGTATGAGGTGTCTGATAACTGCTCCTGTACACGCCAAGATTTGACATGACAGTGATTGCCAAGCAATTTCTTGCACCGCTTTCTCGGCACTCCCCACCCCAGGAGCTGCTTCCTGCGGGAGACCCGAACTGTCATCGTCGGCGTCCCGCGTCCCCCAGGGCTGACAATCCGCGTCTGCTCCCTCGCAAAGGACTGCGGGGAGTCCCGGTCCCGGCCTGGGGATCGGGCAACGGCGCCATTCCCGGCGGCGGGGGAAGGGAGCGGGGAAGCGCCGCTGCCACTGCGGCGGCAGCCGGGAAGCGGGAAGCGAGCGAGCGAGCTCCCGCCAGGGCGGGGGAACCTTCCCACTCCGCCGGCCGCTTGAGCTCGGAGAACAGGAAAAGCAGCCGAATAGAAGAGACAGACGCCGGGGCGGCTCCGCTGCCTACTGGGCGTGCCGGGCGGGGGATGGGGAGCCGAGGTGCAGAGATGCTCTGTGTCTGCGCAGCGCCGGTGTCGCGTCCCTCCCGGGCAGCCGAGCCGGGCCGAGCCGAGCGCCGGTGCCGCCCCGTGCCGGGAAGGCATCAGGGCGACGGGGAGCGGCGGGGCCGGCAGCCAGAGCCTCAGCGCTCCCTGGGGCCGGGGTCAGCCGCACCCATCCCTGCTGCCCCCTCCTCGTCCCTGCGCCCCGGCCTGTCTCCGGCCCCTCCGACCCTCCCGGCCACACCGCGCCCCATCCCGCCCAGTGCCCCGCTCGGGAGCGCCGCCGCCGCCAGCACCACGGAGAGCGCCCGGGCACCCTCGGCCCGCCCTGTCCCGGCACTGAACCACCCCTGCCCCGGCACTGAACCACCCCTGCCCCGGCACCGAACCACCCCTGCCCCGGCCCGGACCACCCCTGCCCCGGCACTGAACCACCCCTGCCCCGGCCCGGACCACCCCTGCCCCGGCACCGGACCACCCCTGCCCGGGCCCTGGAGCCTCGGCGGGTCCCGCGGCTGGGGCGAGGCCGCCCTTGTACGTGTAGCACTGCGCCGGTGCTCACCGTTTCCTCTCGGGAATAAGCTCCTTCACTACAGACATCCAGTCGCAATCCCGTTCCCTGCTCACCAACGCCCCGACGCAGCCACAGAACCGAGGGCCCAGAAGTGACACACCCGAGAAAGCCACCGGGTCCCGGGGCCACCTTCCTGCTTTCCCCACGGGCAGGGCCTCTCAGGAGGGTGGGTCGGCCCGACCCACCCTTGCATCCCGATACACCTGTTCTCATCCCCTGTGCCTTGCATCCCGATACAACTGTCCTCATCCCCTGTGCCTTCCATCCCGATACACCTGTTCTCATCCCCTGTGCCTTGCATCCCGATACACCTGTCCTCATCCCCTCTGCCTGCACCTCGGCAGGGAGCCATCATGGTGTCTGCCCTGCCTCAGCTCACATGCTGGTGTCTGTGAATGGGGATGTTTCTCTCCCCAGACTCACTTCTAGACTTTACTATTCTCATTTAAAGAAAAAAACCTAGTTTAGTTTTTAGCATCGTCATCACTGTCTCAAAGAGAAAGCTAGACTTATGCCCATGCTCTGGGTGATGCTTCACTCAAAGATCCTCTTCACTGACTTCAAGGAAGCCTGAGAAGCATATTTGTGAGTGACCAGTTCTAGGGAAGCAGACACAGAGTGAGAGCATCACAGCTAGGGACAGCATGCAGTGTGGGCTGTGCAGATGCAAACAGCCCCACACAAGGAAGAACAACGGTGCCAATGCCCTGCTTTTCCCACCCACCCATACACACCCAGGAAACACATCTACAAGAAGCATCCTCCAAATTGCAAGCTGAAAACTTGCCCAGTGCCCTGCTGTCTGGAAGCAGTGTGGGAGTCTGGTATCCCTGAAAGCTCTTAACAGTAAGGCTGGTTATCCTCTGGGAGAGGCAAATGAGCCCCAGCTGGACAGTGAGATGAGAAGGCAAAGGTGGAGTATGCTTCTCTTTGTGCCAAGGTCTTGGATACTGGCTCCTCCAGGCCAGCAACTGCTCCCAGGCCTACAAGATGTACAAACAGGTCCCATCACTGCCCTGTTTCTAGCAATGTTTCAATTAACCTCTACCACATTTGTTTAGTGACTGCCAGTTATGTCACTGCCTTTCCTCTTGCCAGGGATAGAGAATTCTTAAAATTAGTGTAGGGAATTCTTAGAACGTGTCCATCCCCCTTCATGTAATGACCACATCAGATCCCATCCTGCACACTTTATCAAGGGAATCTTCAATCACATCTTCCCAGTGACTCTTACCAGAGTGCATCAGGGAAGTAGTTACTGACTTCTGTCCACATTTATCCTGTTCTGGGATTTCCAGAGCCCTTTGAAAGCGTAAGCAGGTCCAGCGGCCATTTCCCAAGGTTAAGAAAAGTTTGAGATGACCAAGGTTAGGTCTGGGGACAGTAAAACAGTAAAAAAGGTACTAAAATTCAGAAACATTTAGTATAAAACAATTAAACAATTGTATAGGATATTTGTGTACCCTTGCAGGAGGCGAAAATAATCTGAGCAGCTGTTTTACTGAAATGGTCTAGGAAATCCCTTGCAATGGTCCCCCTTCTTGTTGCATCTTTGGAATGAAATATGTTAAAATGAATTTGTGCATGTTTTACAGGTAGCAACAGCAGAGCCCTCAACACCAATAGGCTTTTTTCATGTAAGACATAAAACATTTGACATGGAATGTACTATTAACACCAGACCGAGGGGGGAGAAACATCCAAGGACTGATTTCCATTTCAAACTGCATTCTGGCACTTTGTACTCCAGCACCATTGGTGGATCAATATTTAATGCCCGGAGATTCTGGCTCTGCAGGAGTCATGTCAGGGGACCTCTCGAGCCAATCTGCTTGGGTGGAGGAGTGATAATTATTCATGGGCTCCTGCCTCTTGCTCCTTCTCTTGCACAGCCCCACTCTGCTGACTCAGTGCCTTATTCAGTCTTCTCTCCCTCTCTCCACTGCTGTAGCTGGACCCCTTTGCCTTCTCCGCCTCTGAGAGCTGCACATCCCAGCATGGCTAAAACAGCAATGGGTAAGAAAACGCCTCTCTTTTCCTTCAGCCAGCACTACGGCTGCTGTCTCCTAGGTCTGCTACCTACCCTGGGTGTTCTTCTCGCTCTCCCAAAAGTTTAGGAAAAAAAAAATCAAGAGAACACTGAACGTATTTTTTATTTCATTGATCAGAGAAAAAAGGACAGGGTGGGTGGGACATGGGGATGTTTTAACGTTTTAGTATCTAACCAGAGATCGGATTAATTATATAGCAATGGGTGAGGTCGGCACATGAGCACAGCGTAATTTTGAAATGGTTTTCATTATTTTAAAGGTGAACAAATATTTTTTTATATATATGCATATATACTATACAGATATAGATAGATATTATATATGTGTGTGTGTATATATGTATATATATATATATACATATATATATAAAAGAAAAAAAAATAAAACCAAAAACGAACGGTAAAGTTATCCCTGTAGTCAGTGTGCCTCCACCCATCCCCGCCGGCCGGAGTCAGCGCTCCCCTCTGCCTCTGAACCTGCGTGGGGAGAGGGAAAGAGGAACCGGGGAGAGGCACCGCCGCCCGAAAGGGGCTCGGCGCGGCTCGGGGGCTGCGGGCGGGGCCGGGCCGGGCCGGCGGGCCCGCGGTGCGGTGCGGTGCGGGGCGGGGGGGCTGCGGCGGGGCGGACCCCGCCAGGCGCGCACTGCGGCCGGCCGCGCCCAGCCCGGCCCGGCCCTGCACGGCACCGCGGGGCTGCGGGCGGGGGCGGGGGGGAGCCGGCGCTCGGCGCTGCCCCGGCGCTGCCCGCACCTGCAGTCCGCCGGGGGGCGGGGGCCGGTGAAGTAGGTCACTGCATCACGGAGAGCCGGTGTGCGCCAGCAGTGCCCGCCCTGCGCTCTCTCCCGGGGGGCAGCCGCCGGGGCTGTTGTTACCTCGCGTTTTCCAGCGGCACGGAGAGCATCCCCCTCCCCCGCAGGAGCCGCGCCCTGCCGCCGCGGCGCCCCCGCCCCTGCCCGCTCCGGGAGCGGCCCCGCGGGGCGCGGCCCCTCCGCCCTTCCCGGCCCCGCGGGGCTCCCGGGGCTCGGGGAGCGCCTGCCCGCCGGGTCCCTGCTGGTCCTGCTGCTCCTGGCGGGAGCGAGGGGCGGTAGCCCGGCGCTGGCCCCTTTGTTCGAGGGAGGCTGCTGGGTAGGGTGGGAGAAAAAATCCCAGTGAGGGTGTGGAAGAAGGAGAGAGAGAATAGTCGTGGGGTCGGACTACTGAAAGCGTCCAGACCCTAACGCTCCTCAGGGTTGTTTTTTGTTGGTTTGGGGTGTTTTTTTTTGGATTTGGTTTTTTGGTGGTGTTTTTTTTTTTTCTTTTTGAAGAGGAAAGAGGCTGGACCTGCCTTTGACGCATTCAAATTCAAGTTTTCACAATCATTCACCATTAATGTCATGCACACGCAAATCCCACAAAATAAGGATGAAGTGCTCCCAACACAGTTAGTGTCCTCCCCAAGAAGCAAATCCTGTTCAAATTTCCATTTGTGCAGATTCTTTTTACCACTCTTCATCGCATTGCACGAAGTTACACCAAACCCTCCTGGCACCGGCTGAGCCCGATGCATTACCCCAAGGCGTTTATCTGAATGCTGATGTTCCTCTCGCAAGGAACAATTGGTGGGGATTGAAAGCATTCTAACCCGGCTGTGGCACCCTTGGGAGCAAGGCATGAGACAGCTGTAGATGCAAACAGAGGAGGGACGTGAGGGCTGCGGGAGCCTGGCCAGCCCTGCAGTGCCGAGCACGCCGTCCCCTCCCCACTGCAGCAATCCCGTAATCAGTATTGATAATTTCTACTTGGTCGGGGACTTAGCGCTGCAGAAGGCCTGTTAGGAATTCTGTCACAAGGGAAGGAAGGGCTCCTCAGCCTGGTGTTAATGATCTCTCATCACACCAATATAAAGATTTCTGCGGCAAGAGTGATGCCAGGAATCATTAGGTTTGCCCAGAGACAGAGGGACTGTGAGGCGCCAGTTTGTCTGTTAATCCCTCGTTAACGAGCCACCTATACCAGCTATAAAAAGCCGTGCAGCCACCTAGCTCCAGTTTCCAAAAATACTAATTACAGCCACATTCAATTAGAAAATTAAAGTTACTTTATTAAAAGCATCTTCCATCTTTAAACTCACCAAGCTTAAAGGATTCTCCTCACCATTTCTTTAAACAATATTCTTCCTCGTTATAATTATAAATAGACAAAATTTGTATCTAGACAGCCTATTAGAGTAAACCACTTTATTTCAAGAGTTGCAACAAAGCAACAAATTTTATTTTCATGTGGAAAAATAGATCCATTCTCAGTAATGCACATTTCCAGTTAGGGCTAAATGAGCTGCATTTGTTCCTGTACTCAAACTTTACCCAGTAGAACACTGAAAGAACTATAGAGTGCCTGATTTTTTTCCTGTTGAGCACCAGATTTTGCAAAGTGGCAATAAAGGCTAGGTCTTGCCACCACTGGAGCCAGCAAAACATTTCTAATCAGCTTAACCCAGCCCACTATTATGTTTCTGGCCCTGGTCCAGCAAGGCACTTAATCAGGTGTCTGAGCATGTGAATAGTCCTACTGGCTTTGGACAGAACTCTTCACATAACTCAGGTTAGGCAGAAGCAAAACACCTTGAACAAGCCTGTGTTTATATTCTGCAATAGAAAGCAAAATTAAGCCTAATTTTCTATTAAGATGTGTAAAATAAAAGGTTTTCAGGGAAAGCTCCTTTTACTTACGTAGGAGTTTCAACAGCTGCAAGAACTTCTGGAGATCATTACACTCTGAATGCCCACAAGATTCTTCTTTCTGTTTAGTTTACATAGTATATGAATGATGCATGCCTCACAAGCATCTTTGGGGTTTTTTTTAAGTGTGTCTCTTCTTGAAATTCCATGTAAAACAACTGTACAGAAATTCTGGGGGCTTTTAAACTTCATCTTCCCCCTGACACCATCTTCCACATGAATTATAATATTGGATAGAGGAAATTCTTCACGCCTTAAGCTCCCAAGGAAACAGGACATGTGTTACATAAATCAGGGCCTTTGCCCTGATTTATGACTCTCAATCAGGGTCACTACAGACCAATCAGGCCACATATCTGGTTTGATAAACTTACTTAGTGTAAAGTACATAGATGGCATTGTGAAGGTGAAGCAGTGTGTGATGCCATTGGAACTAAAAAAGTGTTTGAAACCATTGTTTCATTGTTTTGTTGTGATGTTTTATTTGAAGAACATTTACTGTTCTAACATCTTCAGATGACCATCATACAGAAAATCTCAGTCCTGATTATGGTTCTGGTTTATTTATAGGAAGCTAACAGAAATACATGGGGTATGTGTTATGGAAGTGTTTTAATGTCAACTCCTTTTGAGATAGTCAGGAACACTTTAAGGTGATGAATGGGTGGGATTATGAGGATACAGGAATTGAGGCAGTGCCATGCTCCCTCTTTCTCAGATATAACAAATAATATATTCTCAGATATAACATATCTGAGTGAGACTGATTAAACCATTGTAGAAGTGCTTCAGAGTTGCTCTTCTACTTTGTCATTTGCAGAGTTGCTCTTCTACTTTGTCATAAGCTCAGACCTCAATAGTTAGCTTGATGGATGCAAGGCCACTGCTTTTTCAGTTAACTAAGTACTGCATTATTGTTTTATCTGGTGTGTAACATACATATGAAGTCATAAATAAGTGTATGGTTGTTGAGTTTGACTGGTTCCATTATTTTAATAGGTAGCCTTTTTTTACTGCAAAGGGGTAAGAGTTCTGCCTCTGGTCTGCCACTACACTTAAACAATTGCTTGATTGTCAACAATTGCACGAGTAGTCATCTGATTATCAATGGCAATGACAAGCTTCAAGTTAAACAACATATGGCTAAGTGCCAGGTTGAATTTGGACTGAACACGCTTCTTTCCATATTATTCCGTTTTTAGCTGAAGGTTTTAACCTTCCCCTTTTATAAATAAATGAATATACGTCAGCTCTGAATTATTTCCAACTGTCACAGAATTACATGTCTGTAATTAGGAAGTTAGTTTAAGAGAAGAATGAACATAGGCAAGAATCGGAAAGTTATTTATTGTATCATAATGTTGGCAGATATGTGATTTGACTGAGATACCACTATTCCAAATTTTTTGAAGAACTAGGAGAAGACATCACAGAATATGCTGAGTTGGAAGAGACACATCAGGGTCACTGAGTCCAACTCCTGGCCCTGCACAGAACCATCCCCAAGAGTCACACCATGTGCCTGAGAGCACTGTCCAAACATTTATTGAACTCTGTCAGGCTGGTGCTGTGACCACTTCCCTGTGGAGCCTGTTCCAGTGCCCAACAACCCTCTGGGTGAAAAAAACCTTTTCCTAATATAATTTGGATGTGACAAGGAAACTGAAGTGGTAATATTTCAGTTAGTTTATTTCTTCTGTGAACTTTTATTACTGAGCTAATATAGAAATGTTGGTAAGTAAAATTCACTAAAGAACTGAGGTTAACACCTATTCATGTTCTTTTCTTGGTTTTTAAAGACTTGATTACTCTTCCTACTCTTGAGAATTAAGATAGGAATAATTTTAAAAACAGTCCATATGGCTAAGGATTTATATTGCCTCATAGCAGTTCTTTACTTACCCTGAGGTGTACTGGCAGGAGGGATGGAACGTCATCTATTCCATTTTCTTATGGAAGATAACCCATAACACACTGAGGAAATAAAAATAAACTTTAGCATCTTGAACACTTCCAAAATGTTCTCTCACCTCCACCTCCATTACCATCACCTCTTTGTCCCAATATAAGCTCGAGTTAGGCTAAAAACTTCCCTGTTTAATAATGTAATCCTGTAATTCATTCACACAGATTTTGTGAATTTGAATTTTCTTTAATTTATTATTTAAGACTGGAATTTTTTTACCATTGGTATTTGTTCCACAATGGTACATTTCTCTAGATCACATTTTGCACACCAATTTTTTATT